TAAAACTAGGACTTCATTTTATAGGTTTTAGGCAAAGTAGATCAGTATTACACAGTTTTCTAGAATTCATTTTTATGAGGAAGTGATTCACGCGGGGACCCCAAAGCAAGAGTTTTCTCTGTCATAGTCTTTTACTACCACTCAAGGCACTTTTCTTCAAAGGTTTGATTTATGTTTTGAGAGGGGGAAGAGACTGAGAAAGAGGAAGAGAGAAGCATCAATGCGTGATTGCTTGTCACGCGCCCCCTACTGGACACCTGGCCAGAAACCCAGGCGTGTGCCCTGACTGGGAATCGAACCGGCAACCCCTTGGTTCCCAGACTGGCATTCAGTCCACTGAGCCACACCAGCCATGGCCAAGGCACTTTGGATTAACTCATGGATCATCTCTCAGTATTTTTTCGTAGCTGACTTGGTCAGTGAATTATAAAATCCTTCCTTGTTTATCATCGTGTTCGCAAGGTCTCAACGACCGTGCATGATTCAAATAATGATGATGATAATAAGGAATACTACATGGCAGTGTGGTCAGCGATTTGCTGTATTCACTGAGTACACCGTGTAATGTAGCTGCTGGTTTTCACAGTGGTGTTTGACCCATACACAGAGCCGAGTACCAAACAGAGTAGTTAAGCGACTTGTCCAAAGTCACGCCGCTGATAAGCGGAGGAGCGGAATTCGGAGGCAGACCATGAACTTCCAGAGTCCTTGATCCCCCGGACTGGGCCTGTCAAGCCGTAGGTGCTCGATAAATATTTGTTGACGGATCAAATTGCGCAGTTAAAGCTTCACAGCGTGACAACTCTCTCATTCTTCTAAAACTACTCACGATAAATAACCAATCATAAAAATAAAAACGTCCTCAGTGCAGAGCTCTGCTGTGAAGAGACTCAGCCGCAGAGACAAATGGGAGTATCTGCTGTTTTATGTCGAATTGCGAGCTGAAAATAGCAACGTCAGGGTGGTAAATTGGGGGAAAAATAAAAATCTACATGATAGATTCACCAAGCAGTAAAAAAGGTACAAGCCTAAAATATTTCAGATACTTTAGACCTAAATACTGGGAAGATGCCTGAGGCGGATGAGCCTCCAGGGGAATGAAATGCCTTTTTAAATAAAGCGCAGACCCTGTCTTATGCAGTTTTAATGTGAGTCTTTGATAATTCAAGACTTCGTGGATCACTCAGGAGGAGCGCTTTTATTTCTGCATTACAGAGGTCTGGCAGCATCGCAGATTCTGGGCTGGGGCTCTGGTAAATATTAAGCTGTGCCTTTAATTAAGTTCCCTTTATGTCTCTGCTACAGCTATAACTAAGTGAACGGAACTTATTCCCTGGGAGAGGACATTCTACGGCACACATTATACACTGTCTAACGTGATACAGCAAACAATTTAAATCAATATTGCCAGATATTGGGGTACATAGCCCATTAATTCCTGGCACGGTAATATTTCTTTTTCATGCATTTATATCTAAGCTATATAACAGGCCCCAATGAAAAGGATATTTATTTCCTAATTTACACTCGACACAACTTTGGCAAACAGTATAAATCTCCACGCCTCAGTTTCCACACATATAAAAATAGGATAGTTGTATTACACATGATGAACTATTTCAACAATCGATTAAGATAATGTATATTAAATAAGACAGTGTCTGATTCATAGGACTCTTAACATAGTAGAAGTCAAAAGTAATTGGGAGAGGAGAAGGGAGGGACGGGGAGAAACAGAATTTTCTAGAAGAAAAAAAGTTTGTTGAAGGCACGTGAATTGTTGCCGTTCTCTCCATTTTACAGACTGAAAAGTTCAGATTGATTGTTACACAACTCTCTGCCTCCTTGTCACCCTAGCGTGTTACTTACATGCCTATCATGATAGTTAAAATGTCACAGTCGTCAAAATTGCAGTTGTAGATTTCTACAAATGAATGACTGGGAACCAGACCTTGCACCTGCATCTTCAACACTTACGTTTCCTACCCCGGCCCCTTCTTTTCCTGAGATGGAAAGGGATCCCCAGGCCATAATCTTTGCCTCTTCCGGCGTCTGGTGGTCCGGGGCAATCTCTGTCATTCTTAGGTACAGCCGCGACACTCCAGTCTCTGTCTCCGTCATCGCACGGCCTGCTTTCTGTCCATGTGTGTTCTCTCCTTAGAAGGACACCGGTCACTGGATGCGTCCCAAATCCACAACGACTTCATCTCAAGAGCTTCCATTCACCTGGGAAGGCCCTAGCTCCAAATAAGAGTTTCGGGTGGACACACAGTTTTGGAAGATAGCATCTGCTGTCTGTAAGATAGATGATATGCTGCATGCGAGTTGATAATATCAAGACAGATTTAGGGAAACCTCAGAAGCTTAGAAATAATGAATTCAACTGGGAACAAAGTAAGGGCTTTAAGTTACAGGTTTCTAAGTTAAAAGACACTGAAAGCATGGAGTCACTAGAGGAGTCTGAAATTGAACAGAATCTATCAGTAATCAACTAAGAATTTGGGAAAACCATATAATAATACCAGAAGACAATATTCTTCCCACTTAGGAAATAAGTAAAAGATGATAGTGTGTATCATAGAGTTAAAATAACTTAATCTGTGACAGGCTAGATAACATGAGATTACAACTAAAGCTTAGTAATAAATTAAAAGAAATACAAGTGTATCCTAGCTTCAGGTCACTGTTAGAAAGTTATATACTAAAGGAGTATATATGTAGGAGGACTATATATCAACATTTAACTTTCTTTTGACCTCCATGCTTATGAGCCAGTAAATACTACTTTAAAATATTTATTTGCCTATCCCTGCATTTGACATAAAGGCAAGCGCATAGCTCACTTTTTATTTGTTATTTCTTACCATATATTGGTTGATAATACTTTGATTTAAGGTAAAAAAACATGTATTCCCAGAATTAAGCACTCCAGGAGCTGTTGCCTTTTGAAGGGGTATTTTCCTTCTACTAAATACGGAAGGTCATTTGTGCTCTGATGTCTATTCCCATAGTCACTTTATTGCTTTGATCTTCACTTTGCGAGCATCTACACGCTTTCATAGACGCCACTCACTGTTCTCAGTCAGGTTCGCACGTTTCCCAGGACAGGCACGTTCCCGTGAGCTGTGATCTGCAGTGGCGGTGGCGTGGGAGACAATTGCATCCGTCTTTAGCAGCAAACAAAGGTGTCCGTCCGCAAAATTCACACACTGAAAAATGAAACGTTCTTTTGACTGACACACAATATTTTCAGAAAGCGGATATGTTTGTCGCATTACTTTTGTTACTGTCATCGTATACGCAAGCTTAGGGTTTTGAATTACCTGCCAAGATCGTGTGAGAAGTGCAATTGTGTCTCAGTAGACCCTGGCTTCTGGTGGAAGCCTGAGAATCTGGTATCGCCCGTAATAGATCATTTTAAGAATATTTTATTCCTGTTTAGCTTTGTTAGATCCATTCTAGAATGAATATAGAATAAAGTATTGCTTTCCCCCCCACTTCATCTGACTCTTATTCTGATACTGTACATCAGGAGTGTCCCCCACCCCACTGTTCATCTGACTCTTGTTCTGATACTGTACATCAGGGGTGTCAAACTCATGTTCACCGATATTTATATGCTTAAACTATCATATATAGTATATATTCAATCTTCATGTTAATATTTACTTAAATGTAACTACTCCTTAACTGTTAAGGAGTTGAAATTACAGAAAGATCCATCATGGTTCTTTAAAGTAAAGAATGGAGTTTTTTAAATACTATATTCTCAGATATGGAAAACATTTGTTGTTTTTTTGTTTGGGTTTTATTTTGTTTCTTTCATCCATGAGGTGATTTTGGTTGGAAAGTTCCCATTTTAAACCTGTTATTTAAGAATTATCCTTCAGAATAGAGATATAAACCCCGACTGTTTAAAGATGTTACAATTCAAGGACACTTTCTTGAAAGAGGTTACAGCTAAATAGAATTTTAACACTGAGCCGGCAAAGGCTGAATTTGATCACAGAAGGACAATGTGAACATCATCAGCTAAAACAATTACCCAAAATGGAAGGAAAACAAGCACAGTTTGATTTCCCGACATAATAGAATTTTGCCCATGTTTGGACATTTGCCTCAATGTCAATTTGGGAAACTCAAGTTATAGTAAAGTGGCAGGAAAAAAAATACACCCTCTTGATCTGGGAAAATGCCATAGGATAGAAAATAGATGTTCCTCCTCTTATTATATTAATTGTATCTCTCTTTGTAGTTACCCTATTTCAAAATCAACCCCACCTCCACCCCACTTTCCCGGGATTCTTTGTACCCAGAATGCTCTCAAAGAAACTTTTGCGTAACTGTAGGAGGAGCTGGGATAAAACTTGGGGAGAGAGGACTTGAGAGTCTCATTCGCTGGAAATGTAGACATTTCATTCCTTTACCACCCTCTAAGCACGAGTAACTTCGATGTTTCTGGAATTTTGAAAATTAATTTAACCTGTCTCCTGACACTGAATGGGGGAAAACACGTTTGTAAACGACAATGAACAAGCTAACTTTACCAGGATGACTTCAAAAAGGCTGTCATTGAACATGCAGAGAACAGCACCCAATGCGGTGTAGATATTTTATCGTTTGTTCTTAATTCCTGAATTTCCAGCGAGCCTAGTTGTTATGAAGAAATGTGTTATGCTGGAGAGAAAGGACCATCCATTTACAAATGGATGTAAAATATGTGACATAATAAGACAATGTGTCCCTGGCCTTTTCTTGGTCGATGCCTCTGTTGACTAAGCGTAAAACTTCGTTTTTTGATGGTGATCAGTTGTTCATACGGCTCTTCGTATCATTGCATGACATTTACGATGTTGTTATATGCCTTGCCTGAAACCACTGAAGAATTCAGCCAGTGAGAACAGTTTTAAATGTCCTTGCAATAATAACAAACTGGAGCTGATGTGTGTTTCTGTTTTGTTTTCCTTTGCTTCCTCTGCCTCCCTTTTATCGTAAAGCAGCAGAAATCCGAGGGGAAAAAGGCAGGAAAGGTAAGATTGTACATTTCAAAGAGAATTGATTTCAAAATATGTTGTGCTATTTTTTTTCTTCAACGTCCCAGGCTATGGTAGCTACTACATGGCGTTCAAAACTCGGTAGTGAGTTTCGTTGGCACCTGCTGTGGTAACAAAAACGCCGCAAGCTGAGCTGTGTCCATATTTTGTATCCCTCACACAGCCCTGGAAGCGATTTTCAAGTCTGATTTCCTTTTCTTTTTCACCTCCGCTCTCTGTCCCCACGGTGCCAAACTACCATACTGCTGACAGCATCACTTTGTGAATGTTCTGGTAATGCAGTTATTTTATGATAAATTTGAGCAATAAAAGAAACCATTTCGGCATCAATTCACAATTCAGCGGTGACAGCAAAAGTGAGTGACTATGTACCGTGATGATGTCTAATAGGGTCACAGGGAAAATACTGTACCTACGCTAAAGGGGCCTCATCAGCAAAATGATGTTCTCTGAGAACCTGGGCTTTAGAATCTCATCTTTCAATGTGCAGATTTTCCGTTCTGCTTACATCTATATATGAACAGTGTGGCTTTTGAGAAAGCTTTGGTTTTCTGCTGTCAAAAATGTATAGCCTTACACATTTTCTTAAAATTTAATGACCTCATTAGTGAAATGGCACGGCCACTGTTCGCTGACATTTCTTTCCTAGAATATACATACTTTTGGGTTGGAAGAAATGCATTTTCTTTAAGATTCTGATGTAACGTATTTTGCAAATCAAATGCTTTGAGTCTTCACTGCGGTCGATATTAGAAAGCAAAATGTACCGTAACTGTATTTCTGCTGACAAGTGAGTACAATATTTAAGATGAATTGTCCTGTTCTAGTTTGAGGGTTCGGATTTTGTGAAAAATGTGTCTGCGCTGGGACAGGAGTGATCTGTTAGCCCCGCGTGTCTTTACCGGGTGTGACGACTGCCCGAAAATTGGAGCGTGACTAGGATGTCAAAGTGAGTTTTCATGAATGTTTGACAGAGAAACTAAACCTACAGAGTGTTCAGTCAATATACCTTTCTGCGAGTTTTCAAATGCCTGCCCAAACTATCTTATCGCGGTGGCCTGGAGGTGATGACTTTTTGAGAATCAGCCCCTCCCAGAAAGCAAAAGATCACAGAAGAGTTCTCCAGTTGAAAGGAGAGAGGCAAGGGCAGAGAAATGTCGGTAGAACTCTCCTCCAGATTGTAGACGTTATAACATTCACAACCATTGTGGCACATTTAGAAATGTTGCTCAGTTATTTAAAAGTTCGAATTCGGAAGAACAGAAATATTGGCAACTTTATCTAGCATAGCTATTCTATAAAGAGGGAGATGTCTTTGTTTCAAAAATAAGGACTGTGTATACAGCACTCTGGGGTGAACTCATTTTCCTCCTCCAAAAACCCCTGGGTCATGAAATTTAACGTAAAACATGTCAATGGTAGCGGAACCATGGTTTGAACCCCAGTAAGAGGGTATAAGGGGGATAAATGGAATGGAGAAAATACAGTATATTTTTTTTTTAAAGATTTTGTTTACCTGGCTGGCGTAGCTTGGTGGATTGAGTGCAGGCTGCAAGCCAAAGCATTGCAGGCTCGATTCCCAGTCAGGGTATGTACCTGGGTTGTGGGCCACATCCCCAGTGCGGGCCATGTGAGAGGCAACCACACATGGATGTTTCTCTCTCTCTCTTTCTCCCTCCCTTCCCCTCCCCCCTAAAAATAAATAAAAAATAAATGAATAAAATCTTAAAAAATATATTTATTAAAAAAAGATTTTGTGTATTTATTTTTACAAATAGGGGAAGGGAGGGAGAGAGAGAGAAACATCAATGTGTGGTTGCCTCTTGAGCGCACCCTACTGGGGACCTGGCCCACAACCCAGGCACGTGCCCTGACTGGGAATCGAACGGCCAACCCTTTGGTTCACAGGTTGGTGCTCAGTCCACTGAGCCACACCAGCTAAGTCTAAATAATTTTTTTTTTAATGTCAAGAGAAAAACTTGAAGTCACAAAACAAATCCATCTCAAAATAATTGTTTGATTCTATTTTAGTAGTGCTATTAAATATATTAATGTTATAAGATGTCTATGAACGAATAAGGTTTTTAAATTTTTTTATTTCTATGCACTATGATGATACCACAGAGACATCATAAAGCAGTTTTCGGTAGTTTGTACACATTTATATCGAAGCTGATATAATATGGTTACCATAGACCAAGCAGATCAGGTGTGTCCTCTGATGTCCTTTACTTTTGGTTCATTGCTTCTGTGTACATGTTTGAAGGGTATTTTGGATATTGAATTCAAGAAGCTATAAACCTTAAGTATATTCTGTCAGAATGTTCATTAACTTTGGTTTTATTGCACATGTTTCCATAAAAAGTTGAATTAATCTCTTGAACTCCAGAACTTCACCCATTTAGGTTTTGTTAATATATCTTATAAAATGTGGTTTTCATGTTCAGTTGAATTCAGAATAAGTGAAAAATATAAGGATCCTGCATTTGTTAAAACGAAGGGGGGGAGTGGTCAACATAGTCTCTTAAGCTAAGAATAGAGTATGTAAATGAGTGTTTTATTGCCTTTTAGATTCTAAAACACCAAAGGACATACTTCCATATTCCAAATCAGAAGTTTAATTTATAGAGATAGGCACTTGTTTTCTACTTTCTTCCTATAAGACTCTTTGTATTTCAGAGAAGCTGGTGGCATTCAAAAAGTAGAGTAAAAGCAAATGATACACTCCATAATTCATTCATTGCTTCACTAGTCAGTTAAGAGATAATGGGGGGTAGGTATGTCAACACACAGCCACCTGTGATTGGATGCATTCATGTAAGCAATGTTTGCATACAATTAAAAGAGAGAAGTACAAATGTTTGAACCTGGTTGACGTGTAAAAAACCACTTCTCATTCAGACAAAAACGGGTTCCTTTCGGTAGCCGCCACCTGACCATTTCTGTGTAGACCCACTTCTTCAAGATCGCTGTACCTTCAGCTAAGCCTGAGCCTAAATTGCCCACAGAGTTTGCGCAAATGGCCAGTCTTGTACAGACTGTGTTCACCCAAGTGCTACAATGAAGGTGGCAGACCCTGTGCTGACAGATCCTCAAAGGAGTGTGTTTCTTATTTCTTTACATTTGCCTGAGGTGAATTTATGAAGTGGCAAGTGGGTCACGGGAGCAGTAGCACAGCAGCAAAACACACAAAAGCGATTTCCTGTCATTTGTGTGATCCTTTGCTCCAAGACGCATCGGCAAAGTAACCTTCTTCCCACGCCGGTCCCCCAGTAGGTTCTTCCAGGGACGTGGTATTGCAGGTATATTGTGAAGTCTTCTCTACTGTCATAACAGCTTCTTATTTTGCCTTGGAATAGATTCTTTATTTCCCTCAATGGGTCATGACTGCAAATTTGGCCAGTGGCAAACAGTGGCAAAGAACTTGGACACTTCTGCTTTTACCTCTTTGGATTCGGCTTCAATATGCTTGTTCAAGACTTCCGCTGGCACCTGCTAATGTAGCCGTCTGCATCCGTTTCGTCTAGCATGTTTGTTTGTGTCAGTTTGGTTTTGTGGATTTGGGGTACTGTTTTTGCTGATTCCGTGGCCCTCAAACATGCAAATTTGCATTCCTGGATCTTACTTTCCTATGGTTACACGGGTGTTATGGTCTGAAACATTGTCCTCCCTTTTTATGGTTATAAGTTCATTATCTGCTTTGTATCGTCCCGTCTGGTAAACCTGAGATTTCCCTTCACTCGCCCCGCCCCAATTGCCTGGTCCCTCGACACTGTACCCACTTCTTACTGCACATGCGTAGTATTAAGCTTTGGGAATTGTTCAGATGTCTTTGTCTACTCGTCTCAGTAACTCTCTACCCCGAGTCTTAAGAGTGACATCCCAAAACGTTTCCACCACCTTCCAGTTCCCTTCACAATTTGCAACACTGAACTATCCACACACTACTTTAAGTCCTAAGCACAACAGAATTCGTTTCCTTTCTAGTCCCTCATTTATTCCGTATTATTGAAATATCTAGCTCTTGAGTCTCTTTCTGCATGCCACTCCCTTTTTATTTAAAAATACATATAAATGTCATTTGTCAAGGGAAATAAATATGAAATAGAAAAGTACCCCCCTTAAGTAAACTCTTTAGATATTGTTGTCATTCAGGAATACATTGAAGGAGACACCTCCCCCTGTTAACTGCATCTTTTCATTACACATTTCCTGGTAAAATCTACTATCTTTACCTGCCAACTAAAATAGAATGCTTTTATCATTTGCCTGAGATTTCCTGCTTAGTCCATCCAGAACTTTCTGTTACATTTGACGTTCTAACCGCTGCTCATGCCTCAGTCTTTCTGGGACACTTTCTTCTAGTGACCTGTTCATACGTACATCGTGAATCATGTTAATGGCATGTGTATTTCTTCTGCATCTCCTCAATTCTTAGTATAATATCATGCTTCACTGCTTATAAATACTTAGTCTATTACTTTTAGTTTTATTTCCAAATGTTGGAAGGACTTTAAGAGAACTGACTTACTCCAAAGAAAACTCATTTCTAATTTTCCTAACTAAAATGCAGAGTATGGTAATAATATAATAGGACAGGCTCATTATCCAGGGATTTCAGAATCTTTGCACGACCCTCTGAATTCATGTAAAACAGAGAGAAACACATGTCACGAAAGGTGACCTACACCTTAGACTTAATTCAGGAAGTTCTAATCCTGTTCTCTTGTGTATGTAGAAGTATTCTGGGAAAATCAATGTTGAGAGACATCTTCCTCTGCAAAACGATGTTTTGATTATTTTTCTTTTCTGTAAGCTCCTATTTGGCTGAACTTTCCAATTTGGACTCTTCTTTGAAAACATTATTTTCTTTCCTCTTCATGCAAGACAAAAACAAAAATGGGGGTATGTGACCACGGTGCATCCCTTTTGTCGTCCTGAACAAAAAAAAAAAGCTCTGAACCTACCATGAAAAT